CAAACATAATTTTTCATAAAGTGAAGAACATTATGGGCAACAGTGAGCTTTTTTTTCAGAAGATTATTAAACAACAATGTGTCTTCAATAAGAGGCTTCTCCATTTCTGGTTCAAGACAGACCAATACAGAAGATCTTTCCTGCCCAAAGTTATCAATGCCTACAACACATGGATAAAAAAAATGAGTTAATTTCCCTTTTGGATTAATAAAGTATTTTTGAATTGAATTGAATCTATATATACCGTATATAAATATATATAGATTTTTGCCTTTAACCAGTGTTCAAATTGAAATTTCTAACCTTTCTATTTATTGTAAAAATTAATAAAAAGTGGGTGACAACATTTGTAACGGTCAATTATAACGTACACCGTTAGTGAAAAGTTGTGATGGAAAAAAGAATTTGTGAAAAACCTGTAACTGAGGGAAGACGCATGCTATTTTGCTATTTGGCTGTGTACGTAATACAAAAGGATTATTCTATATTTGCAATCTCGGGCTTCAAGGGGTTATAGTACCTCAACAGATACAAAAATAGCTCACCCTGTGTCTTTTTCAGTATCTCTGTCCACACTAAAGAATGTTAGTAACTTAATCCTATACAATCCTACATAGACATAGGTGTGAAGAGTTCATTGAATGGAGGATTTTCAATTGAGCCGTCGCCATCATTAATAATCTCTCTTAAACAGATCAGCAATTAATGTATCTGTGGACCTCTAATACCTACTCCATTCCAGATTAGAAGGGCTGAGCTCAGCTGATCTAGGAAACTTAGATCTCATGGTTTTGACCTTTTCTTTAGCTTTCTAACCCATTTGACTCCAGTATGATTTCCTTTTTCTGCTATCTATCATAGATTTAAGTTCTGTTAAATCACTTAGGTGTGTTAAAACACGTTTTAGGTGGTGGAAGATATTAGATGGTGCCGCCACACCTTTGTGTTACATTTGTGATCTTGTTTTCATTTTATCACTCTATCAATACTTCAGCTGAAAGCACAGCAACAGACTGAATGGCCAAGGAAGCCTGTGGTAGGTGTAAGTCTTATGGTGTGAAGAGTAGGACGTAACATGTCTGCGTCAGGTTGTGTGTGTGTCCAGAACGGTGAGTTAGCTCATGAGTAGGTGTAGAGTAGGAGTTGAGGGAATACAGGTATATTGGTGGGTTAGAGGATAGTGATTGACAATAAGAAAAAAAAATAGGGCAATGTTTGCCTTGTGAAAATGTGTGATTGTGTGTGTTGAGGGGACAGTGATCCGTACATGTCTAGACAGCAGACGCATGGCTGGGTTAAACACACTCCAATTACATATCCACCTCCAGGTTATATATGTCACTCTATGTGTGTATCTATTGGTGTGTCAGGGCCTTCATGCATGTGCATTTGTGTGTCCCTCTATGTTTTTTTCTAACCATTTCTGTGTCTCTGTGTATGGGTATCTCTTTGCCTCTGCCCCAAAAGGGATCCTAGACATGACTGTTCATGATATCGTCAAATGAATAATTTGTCTGTTCCATGTTAGCTTCCTCTGTCATATATGTGATTCTCAAGAAGAGTGTAGGGAAAGCAAGGGGTTTCCTCTCCCCAGTCTAACCTTCAGATAATTTTTTTTTATTTTACTCGCTTTTCTCCCTGCCTTTAGCTTTTTACGTTCATACAATTTTGCATCATAACATGTCTAATATGCCTCTGCTACTTAGAGTAGATCTCATCATTCTGTCTGTTCTACCTCAACACAGTTTAGATAAAACACACTGCATGTAGAACTAGGTTAAAATTACTGTAATACTCACTTAGTCTTTTACATTACATCAACTGGGGAGTGGTGGCCTAGGGCCTACAGTAACTGCTAGGGCATAGTGCTTAGAATCCTGAGGCTCTGAGTTCAAGCCCCACTACCAAAGACTGCCACACTGGGTAAGACCATTAACCCCCCCTGGGCACCCCACGATGGCAGCCCGCGGCTCCCCAAAGGGATTGATTAAATGCAGAGGTAAATTTCTCCAATGTGTGATCAATAAAGTTCAGTTATTTTTTTACTTATTTATTATTATTTAACTGTGCCTTGAAAGAAAGAAGTAACCCTTTAATTCTTTATAATCTTAACACATTATACAAACAATAATCGATTTATTGGGGGTATTTATGTTGTACAGTATAGAACATAGTAAAGGTATACAATGATATACAATTTTTAGTCCCCTAGACTCTCATAACCTTAAAGGTATTGGAGGATGTTCTTTTTCCAGGTGGATCGTCAAAATAAATGGTCCTCCTAATTTTCAATCATTCTGGTGATATGTTTACAAAAGGCCGTCCTACGTGCTCGCCTCCATTTTCACTTACCGGTGGTGAGTCTTACGTAGTGGATGCAGACAGCAACTTTTAAACAGGGCATACACAAGGAGAAATGGGCATGTGCATGCTCTTGCACATGATTATAGATGTTCTCTCTCAAGAACAGGGCAGGGTTGTGCATGTGCATTTTTTTTTTTAATTAGTAGTTCAAAAATTCGCCCAAATCCTCCACTATGTCTTTAAGTGATGCAAGAATTGTGCTATGGAATTTTTTTTTTTTTTCAGCTTTCACTGGGAAGCAGATCAGAGTCAGTAGGGATGGATGTGGCTCAAAACATGACAATTTTGTAAGACTAGACTGTGGTTGAGTTTCAGATCCTAGCAGAACAACTATAAACATCCAGTATCTTGATTCAGTGGTCAGATTCAAATCCAATTGAGATGACCTAGCTATGCAAACTAGGTAAAACAGTAAAAAGCACATTGTCATCCAGACTCAATCCTACATATTTGTGATTTCTATCTGCTCCATTACACCAAATCTATGCAATTGCATTACCTTCTCAGCAGCTCTTAAAGGATACAGACTTTTGTTATGATTAGTGTTGTGCCAATGCCATTTTTTTGGCCCTAATACCGATACCCAATACCTGGCTGTGTAGTATTGGCGATACCAATACCACACTGATACCATCTGTTTGAAAATGATGTGTGTGTGTGTGTATATATATGAAGAACTGCACACTACTTGGATGTAAAATAATTGCCATCATGGCTTTGTCAAGCTGCTGCCTACCTTTGTGAAGCAGGAAGAAGACTAATACACAGTAAATCTAGTGAAACTTTTTATTGCCTACCTGGAATGGGTGACAATAGATAAATAAACTTTTGGCTGTCAAAATGGTATCGGTGCCCTATTTGTTGGTACTCACCGATACCACCATTTTAGTGCTGTATCGGGGCCCTGTTCGATATCGATGGTATCGGTATCGGTGCAACACTAGTTATGATTAATTGATTTAAATCTGATAGAATGAGGCAAGGAAACCCCCAAAACATGCAAGACTTTTGCTCCAGGAGACCATGGTTAAAGACAACTTCAGTAGAGCACATTCATCCAATCATACAAACACTTACATGTTCATTCTCCAAAGCACAGATAAGTATGTGCCCAGATTGAAAGCTTATGCACTCTTTGTTTTTGTCTGTATTTTTTTTAGCTTCCAAGTGAGTATGAAGCTAATCCAGAACTCCTACTTTATCGAATCACCCACCTGAACCACCGACAGCAGTACCTGATCTGGGCTGCTGCTGTCACCACTGCGGGCCGTGGAAACTTTAGTGACAAAGTTACCGTGGAGCCAGCTGCCAAGGGTGAGTCCTTTTATGTCATGTTGACATAGTTCAGCCGCTTTGGGTTCATAGTTCAGAGCTTCATTATATCAAATGTCCTCCACAGTACTTCCCAGTTAATTGAAAACATGGATTAAAGACTCTACATTTTAACAACTTATTTAATATTATTATGCAATATACAAATTTTTGTCAAGTATTTCTAAAGGTATAGAGCAAAATATCTGATGTTGCTTCTCTGGTATTCATAGACTAACACAGAAAATTGAAAACTGACATTAGTAATTATATTATCAGACTATCTGCTTTCTTTGAGTCTTGAGTCACAGTGTTTACTTACAAGCTGCTCATAGCCAGCCAACTGTAGTTCTACACCATTGTTTAGCTTAATAAGAATGATGTTTAGTACAACTTAATATTCCTCAGCATCACTCCAATAGCTATGTTTCTTGTTCTAGAGGGTAAGGGAAAATGAAGTAGTCCTTTATAAGCCAACTGACTGATGATGAGCAGCAAGAAAGGGATGAGAGGTAGCACTACATAGTACTACATTCCATTAAGGCATACAAAATGTTCACATAGGATTTTCTCTTTCATCTCATTGAAATTAATTGTATATGTAGGAAGTACTGTAGGACCTCAGCATATACTTAGCTTTTCTTAGATTTTGCATTTTTATTTCAGACACAAGTCTGCAGGAATTAATCAGTGGGTCTCTTTGAGTAAAAAGAATGTAGAAACTAGTTACTCAACAATACCCCTCAAACCAAGCGTAAGTAGTATTATACTAGCAAAATGATGTATCTTGTTTATCATTAAAAACATTTGCCATCTTTTGAAAAAAAAAGAAAAAAAAAGAGACTGGAGGGTGTTAAAATTATTAATCAAATAGTAAAAGCATACATAAATCTTGTCTAAAATTATGAATTATGTTTTGGGCAGCATCCTTTAAATCATTCACCTACAAGTCTATAATTAACAGATGTGTTTTTTAAAAATAGGTAGCAGAAAGTTGTCATTATTTGTGCAATTAAAAATAAAAGGGGATTATTTAGCTATTTATGACATATTTCATTTGAGTCTATTGGGTTGATTGTTCTTTTAACTGTTTGTACCTTTGTATAAACCACTGTGACACTATTAATGCTGGAGTGGTTGCTGCTCTTCAAACCTCCTACTAGGTTAGGAATAAAAGCCAGTTTCCTGAAGGATGTTTTTTCCTAATATCACTCAACTTCTTCTCACTTTGTCCCTCAATTGGCTCACTTCTTGATTGATTTTTGTATTGCTGCCTGTTAAGACTTCATAACGGTATCCAATGATTTAAGAGTTCAAGGTGCAAATAAAATGCCTCCAGCCAACGAGATGATCAGGGGGAAGACAAACAGCTGGAAAAGTAACAAGAGGAAGACAAAAAGGAAACAAGAAGAGTACTCAACAGGAGTAGACTAAGCTACACCAGACAGTGGCAGGGTTCAGGAAGTGAGCATGTCAGTTACAGTTAATCAATAGGCTTTTAGATCCTAATGTAGAATAAAGATGTATGAATGAACTACCCCTTTCTTTACCTCTTCATTCCTCTGATCGCTAAAGGATTTTCAGCGTGTTAGTGTGGGTGCTTGGGTCATCTGATCAGCAGCTGTTAGAAAAAACTGTTTCCTCCAGGCTAGCACACTCAGTACTTAAATTAACCTTAACACAAGTGCACAAGAGCACAGCCATTAAGACACCAAGAATGGAGAAGAAAAAGAAAGAACAGCTGATGGAGTAGCATTGAAAATAGAGGTTATTTTTTTGTTATCTTCTGTCTTTCTTCCCTCTTATAATCTTTCTTTCTTTAATGTTATGGGTAACACAACATTTTAAACTACATTTCTTAAAAATCTGAGATAATGTTTTTTTTAAAACATTTTCAGGATGCTCAGTATTTAAGAAAATTCACTGATAAACAATGGAAACATTGTCTAATCGCATAATACCATGGTGCTCTCGAAGAAGCTAAAAAACATTGTTAGGTTCATTATTTTTAGAATGTTATAACAGAATTATGCAATAAAGTAACCTAATAAACAAATTAGTTCTTCACTTTTTAAATTTTAAGCCTTCTCTATGACAGTGCCAGTCAGCTGACTAAATTATAGTAAAAAAAAAAACTTGGCTGAGCATAAAATAAGAGAGCATACAACTTTGAAAACTGTTATAAAGTCTCTACCATAAGCAAAAAAATGCTGAACAAAGTATTAACACTAAGAACACCTATATCTGTGGCCCATTAATAACAAATATTGCTTTTTGTATTAATTTTTTTAATTAAGTAAATACTCAAATAAAATTTTGGAATTGTACTCTTTTGCTTTTCATTTGAGTTTGTGCTACTACAAGAAAAGATTGCTTTATTTTAATGCTTTCACACATATATGCCAGGGGTGCTTATAGATGTGCATGCTGCTGTATTGGATTACCTTTAGCCATTTTTGCATTTATGTAAAATAAACCCTTTCATTTGATTCTACATTCATCTTTACATTTTTGAACAGCTCCTGCCAAAATCCTATCATTTGGCGGTACAGTAACCACTCCATGGATGAAGGAGGTGCGTCTGCCTTGTAGTTCTGTGGGTGAACCAACACCTTCAATAAAATGGACCAAAGACAGGTGATCATCTTTTAATTACATAAAAGTAATTATTCATGTAATATGTGGTTAAGTCCTTAAAATAATTCAATCAGAAAATGTTTTTAGCTTTCTGCTTTGGACCGTTGTAATAGAAAAATTCAATCAAAGGGTGGGGCACTTTGATATGAATTTGTTACTATTATTTGTCGATAATGTTTCTTATTTTCTTTTAGTGAGGATACAGCGATCCCAGTGTCTGTCGATGGACAGCGCTTAATTCTGACCAATGGGACACTAGTGCTGCGATCTGTGAAAGCTGAAGACTCTGGTTATTACACATGCACAGCCACCAACACGTTGGGCTTCGACACCATAATAGTCAATCTTTTAGTGCAAGGTATGAACGTATGATTTCAGTTGGAATATTTGACTTTTTAAAAAGAATCTATCATCTATCAAACATGCCATTTAAAGTATCTAGACTTATCTTTGATTTTATATTTTTCAAGAGAAAAAACTAAAATTTCATAATATGGCACTTGTAATATAGCAATGTATAGTACTCAGTGTAAAGTTTCTCTTCAAAATAAGTCATCCCAGACCCATTAGTGTTTTAACCACTAGCAACAAACTTAGTATCTCCCTAATTTACATTACCAGTGACAACATAAGTTAGTAGGGCAATGTTGCAGAACTTGTGCTTCACCACTTTTTTTGATGACTCCACAGAAGCTCAATTGGTTTTAGGTCTAAAGATGTGCTTAACCAGTTGTTTTGCAATCAGAATATATTTATTGTACTGGGCAATAAAGTGTTTAATGAAATTATATATGGACTTTCATATATTGTTCTGTGAACACAGGCCTGACTGGTGGTGTCCTAGAACAATAAATGAAAGACCTAACTGAAGACCTAACCTGTTTGACCTCTAAACTGGTTAAGTCTCTCTTTTTGGCCCTGAAGACCAAGAAGAGAGACTTTACCAGTTTGGAGATCAAAGCTCTACTAACAGAGAGTTGAGCAGCAGAATTGAAGGACCAGTAAAACCCAAGCAGTGGGAAATAAATTACAATATCTGTTTAAGCTGTGTCAGCTGTAGGATGTTGTTACAGAAGTAAAAATTAAAATCTTTTTTCCAAATATATGAAGAACAATTTCTTGCTAATGCAAGAAAGTCAATGTAAACTATTTGTGGAGGCAAGAGGTGCATCATATGATGTAAATGTCTAATATGATTTTGCTATCAATGAATAATACTAAACATTCGGCAAAATCTCCTTTTAGTACACACACACACAGGCCTACTATACATCTCCAGACCATGTCTTTCATCACACTCTCCATATCTCTCAATGCAAAAACATAAAAATGTTGACAGCAAAATTCTAATTTGATTAATTCAGAAAGGTCCTAACCCAAAAATTACACATTTTGTGTAATAACAAAGCCAATAAGTATTGTCCCATGACAAGATGTTATAAAGTATGTACAGGACTGTAAGGGGTATATTCAGTTTTGTGTGGTATTGTATTTACAGACATTTTATGCACTGACCTCTCTTTGCTCTTTCATAGTGCCTCCAGATCAGCCTCGTTTGACAGTATCCACCACCTCCACCTCTTCTATTACCCTTGCCTGGATTCCAGGGGACAATGGAGGCAGCTCCATCAGAGGCGAGTTACCCTACCAAAATATTAAGTCTCTTTGTTTTGGTTGAACATAAACAAGGATTAATTTAAATGAAAAGACATGGCAACAGACTGCCTTGATGAGCGTGACACAAGATGCTATTTAAAAAATATTTTAAAAAACAAGTCATGTTTCCGGAACAGAAGGACCCAAAATTCAACGAGAGACAGACAGTCGGATAATTCAAAGCATTTATTAAACTGAGCAGGCATGGTATCAGCGGCTTGGCAGTTTATCATTGGAAACTCTGTTAAAAGAAAGGTTAGTGACCACGTAAATCTAATGGAGGAAGATTAAGAACGTGAGTCACTAAACTGCTTTAACAGTTCAGTTCATCTCCAAAGAACACGGTAGTATCCAGCCAGTGGACTGTCAACAAAATGAAGCAGGCAGCGCCCAGAGTGTCCCAGATGCTGCAGCGATGGATAACATGCAGGAGTCTGAAGCCAGGTCAGGCATATAGATCAGAATAGGAACATGCAGGCTCAGAGGTCCATGAGTCCAAAGACAGTTCAGGCAAACCGTTCAGACGGGAACAGCCAGGCTCAGTGGTTGAGAGGCAGAACGGGTTAGGATCAGGAAATCAAAAACATTATGGTACTCTAAAAGCCACTCTCTCCAGTGAGATCAGACAGTAACAGGCACACAAGTGGATGAGAGGCATATCAGGTCAGGATCAGGAAATCAGAAACACTATGGTATGCTAAAAGCCATTCTCTCCACTGAGATCAGACTGATACAGGCATGCTTAGTGGATCAGAGGCAGAACAGGTCAGAAAATCAGAAACACTATGGAGCACTAAAAATCCTCTCTCCACTAGCCCTCAAGAACAAGAACAAGATAATCTGACCCTAGGTCAGCTGGGTCGAGTACTTTAAATAGAGGCAGGAGCAGGTAGATCAGATGAGCGGTAATGAGCAACCGGGCAGAGTAGACAGGTGAATGGAATGAATAATGAAGCCAGTCATCAGTGCCAAGACATGACAAAACCAAGTTTGTCAATGTTCTTCGCAATATTTCTCAAACTGCAAAATACTTATTTTAAGATATATATTTAAAATGAAATAATCCATCCAGATTTGGCCAGGTCGTATATTAGCTCTCATGTTTAGTTTATTTAATTTCGGTTCTAATTGGATCGGTTAATTGTCCTTTTTTTGTAAAAAAGTAGAGGTAAATTGTTCCACTGCATAATTATTTAAGTTAAGAGCTTGTGTTTTAAATAGAGGTCATGAAATTCCTAAAAGTTTATTAAAAGGCAATGATACACAGGAACACACTTTCTTTTCTGCTAATGGACAGTAAGTGGTATTACTGTAGCTATACGGCAAGTTAAGATTAGACAAAAACACGGCACGGCAAGTGAATAAATACTTTCTACTTTCAGACAAGTGGCTCAACCATAGATCTAAGATTTTTGGTCCTCATTAATATTAATATTAATTACACAATGTATAATGATACAGCCTAATAAAATTGACAATTGCTCCTAATCAACAACAAACATAAATGTTGTGAAAAACTAGGTTTGGAATACACCTGACTGATTGCATAAGAATTTGTTCATACCTGAGAGAAGATTAGAAATAGGAAAACACTGATGAATGAAACATTTTCTCCTGAATTACATATACAAAGGATCTAAGAACAATTGTTTTTTTTGTACGAACACTTTTTGCATGAGGCCAATGACTCTACAGCAATCCCTCACACTGTGCATACATGCAACAGTGGAGAGGAAAAACTCCCTTTTAACAGGAAGAGACCTTCAGCAGAACCAGGCTCTGTCTGAGCAGCCTTCTGTCGAGGTTGATTGGGATTCTCGACAGGTTGATTGGAAGCAGACATACAAAATATAGAAGCATGGGTCTATAAATATTGCCTGCTACTCAGGTGGTTCTGTTTGGGGAAGTAACAGTTAAGCAGATGAACTCTCTGAGCCAGATCTCATGTCAAAGGGATGAAAGAGAAGACACACATTTATTCACAGTAAAAGCTGAGCCCAGAGTTATGTCTAGAAGACTGAACACTGAATGTCCATTCAGTGACATTCTTAGCGCTATTGCATTAGCTAACTCATAAATTATATTGAGGTCTGGTATGAAATACATTTTCATTCATATTGTTTAGCATTTGTATTTAAAATGGTATTTGTCATATTCTTAGTAACATTAGAATTAGGGGTTACTCTTTATTGTGAATTATCTTGGTATTCTCTGCTATTTTATGCAAACTACATGGGTAAAAACACAGCTAAATTTGTTTAGAAAATATTTATCTTTGGTTTTAGTCAGACACTTATTTCAAGATGTAAGGGTAAATGACTTGTGATTTGTTGTCAACATAATTTAGGTAGGAAAAGGACTTAAAGGCATATCTTTAAAATAGAAATACGATGTGTAGTTATTTGTTTTTAGATCACCCCAATCCAATACAGTTCTGTTTTCATTAGTTGCAGATTGAAAATAATCTTAATTAACAAAAACTTAAGACCTGAAAAAAATTGACCAGTGTGCAATCTATGTGTTTCACTTAACATACCAACAAAAATATTTATACTTTTAAATAACAGTCTTACATATGAATGGGTTTGTATAGCTTATACAGATTAATTTACCGGAAAATAAACACCTTAGATTTTATGTATAAGAAACTTATATATATAATATATGACGAGGAAATATTTTGTTAAAAAATAAATCAGTGGGAAGACTTTACAGCAAACATTCTTCAAAGCCTCATAGTCAAAATAGGCTACTGCTTAAACAATATGGCATTTCACTAACTTGTCACCATAATCAACTGAAACCTACAAAGAATAAATGGAATATTGTCAAGAGGAAGATGATTGACATAAAGCTAACAATGTGCCTCCGATATACCTCTGCAAAGCCAGACTGATCACTTCCACAACTACATCAGACTCAAGCAAAAGGAGCCCAGCCTAACAATGGGTGTATAATGCTCTCTATGTGGACATACGTTTCAAAGGGCAGAAAATTCTGTAATTAGTTTCTATTGGTATTGTGTGATATTCTAGTTTACTGAGAAACTGAACTTAGGGTTTTATTTCACTCTAAGCAATTAATCAGTTAGAATAAGGAGGAATAATAAAACACTGTGTGTTATGAATATACTATATATAAGGTATGAACCCCATTTTTAAATTGAATTACCACATAAATATTGATATTCTAATTGTTTGAAGTGAACCTCTCGATTTTTACTGTCTATTAGTCATATATCGCTGTTTGCTTTAATGTGTCTTTTTCGTTTCACATTTTCAGCATTCATTTTGGTCTATTAATTCATTGAGTGGTGTCTTGCTTTTATGTTTCCCTGTAAAATGTGTGTCTGTTTGATTATGGTATTATTGGTGAGCTCTTTGTGCGTAAGGCTGCTGTGTGTGTAGTTGAATAGGCATGCATGCAAATGAATTTTCAGCTGCTGTCTTTGTTCATTCTATTTATCAGGATAAGGGGTGGTGGGAGTGTTGCAGATTCATCTGCCTGATTTCATACTGGTTGTTTTGTCTACCTATAGATGACATATCACACATCAGCTCGTACAGAAAATTCTTAGCTTACTATATAGCTACATCCGGAGCACTATTTTGTGCATTATGGGATGGTGTGAAATGCTATATAAAAATATATTTAAAAAATCATATTATTTGATTAACAATTTCATAATATAAAAACCTGTACAAAAACTCTGTACATACTAGTCACCAATATGTGGTGAATGTGTTTTGCACATACAAATTTGAAGTAATACAAAATAGACGTGCAAAATCGACATGCAGATTTTACATCAAAAAATGGTACTCCTGACTTGGTACTCTCTCTCTCTCTCTCTCTCTCTCTCTCTCTCTCTATATATATATCTCTCTCTCTCTCTCTCTCTCTCTCTATATATATATATATATATATATATATATATATATATATATATATATATACACCATTTCTAGATATTCCATGGAAAACAAAATGTTTGCCTGTCTATAAGGCCTTCTGCAAAGAGACATTTCTGCAATATTCCTACATTTGAACCTGCAACATTTATCCTTCTGAGTTTTCCATTCAGTGTGCATAGGGAAGAAAAGAAAATGCACTGGTTTCTAGATTTACAAAACGTTTAAGCTGGTAAAACCAGTATAATTTTCAAATCAGTTTCAAGTTTGTCTTTTACTGCATTTCTTTTTTTGGCTGTAGTGTGAGGTTCTTTGACACAACTTAAAACTTCCAAATACAGATCAAATTTAGCAACCAATGCAATGCTTTAGAGGATCTCATACCATATGTTTGAGTGAAAGTGGGGGTAAACCGACAGTAAAAAGAATATGGATGCAGAAAAGACACATTCAAATGTGTATAATTGCATTCAGATGATGAGGAACCAAGACAGAAGGAGGGTTACATGGAAGGATTCTCAGAGCAGGAGGGAGCTGGCTCTGCAAGGACGCTGATTATAAAAACAGTCCCCATATTGCAATCCCACATTTGCATAGATGCTCAGTCAGCACCATCCCAGGCTTTGGGTTTGTAGGTAACTAATGGCGGCATAGATGGAAAGCAGCAACATTTTGCAGTCTATTCGTGCTTCACTGAAAGGCTAGTCTTTCATTGCCATCTGGTGGACAGTAAATGTACCAATATCATGTGCAGAAAGGATTACATTACTTTTTAGTTACTGCACTTTTCTGCATTTTTCCACAAATTTGTAATTTAAACAAATCTGTCAGAAGGAAAAATAATTACAAAAAAGAAGCATGGTAGGCTATATTTTTCTCGAATTGGAGGTTTACTTGAACTCATACAGAAAAAGGCAACTATTTTTAAATAATATTATGTTTTTTTTCTTTTTGTGCAGGTTTTGTGCTGCAGTATTCAGTAGATAACACAGAAGAATGGAAGGATGTTTTCATTAGTTCAACTGAGCGTTCATTTAAACTTGAGAACTTGCGCTGTGGGACCTGGTATAAAGTCAAGTTGGCTGCTAAGAACAGCGTTGGAGCTGGACGCATAAGTGAGATCATTGAGGCGAAAACCCATGGGCGAGGTAAGAGTATGAGATATTGAAGTAATCTATAATAAGACATAAAAGAGTTAGACATATATAAAAAGTATACATATTCATATAAAACTGTAAACAATGCTGTTGTAAAAAAAATGTATTCAATTTCCTTTGAAAATCTGGTGTTTTATCCATTTTTCATGTAACTTTATTGTTAAGGATGTTCAATAATATAAGTATTGTGCACTAAGACATTAAAATAAGTGCTGACAAGATGTCTTCTCTTACTGAGACTTATTTAATGAGACGAATGCAAAATTATCTTTTGGAATATTTATTTCTTCTTCCATAAGGATGAAAAACATGCAGCCATTTTTTTCAAAAAGTAAATATTTTGTTGGAAAATGAGCAGTTTCAAAAATATTATATACCCTGCTGAGCCTAATATAGATAAAAGGGGAGGGGCTTGTTTAGCTACACTCATTTGCATAAAAGTGACAGCCCTAAAGTAGGCAGTTCTCAAAGATGCTTTAATAGTAAAACGTATAGAAAACGTATTATCTGAGATTTATTTTTATTTTTGGGCAAAAAATGTAACAATTATGTTGTGTGTAGACCTATCCTAACTTGTTTAAATCGAGGCTTGATAGGTTCCCTTTAGAAGTGTAACTCTCTCATGTGGCCAAGCTTTCTGTGTTTGTTACTGTAGGTTGCTTTATTGATTAATACATTTCCAGAGTTATTGTACACTCACACATTTCCAAAATTTCACAATTGGTGGATTTCAATTAGTTTCTTATTTCCCAATATTATGATATTTGGAAAGTTACAACAATGCAGTTTGCTGCAGGAAAGGAAGGGTACAGAATGTCGGTTTGGAAATGATAGGGAAAAGATTAGCAATGTTCAGAAGTGATGGTATTCAGTCACTTCTGACCTTGCTCTTTTAACATTGTTTAGCTAAGTATATCCAAGTCTCCACATATACCGGTAGGTCAGTTTTTTACTGAAACAAAATTTTCATAAAGTATTGACAGTGGTCATGATTAAAGAAATGTAGAAGTTGGAAAGAATTACCTTTAGTTTTTGACAACTACAGTAGATGAATATATGAAATGCTTTGTCGGATATAACTCCTAGATTAAGTGAGCAGAGGAAGCAAAACACAGTTAAATAGATGTGATTTACTGGCTATAGCCAAGTTCTCTGGATACTTGCATATGAGATAATCAATAACCTGATTAGAGTTGTAAATAGTTGTATAATTGAAACCAGATGATTACACTGTAAGAAAAGACACAGAACCATTTCTCTCACTTTCTATCATTGAATGAGATCAAGCACCTCCTGTTTTAGGACAGTTATGGTTACCAAAAATGTTTTCTATCTGCTAAATACCAGAGTAAATATTGATATTCTTTTCAATTCATTCAATGGCAGAAGTGGAGAAACATTAGGATTTAAATAAAGTTAAACAATAAATAAAAGATACATAAAAAACACCATAATGATGATGTGACTGTGTTCTGATATTATCGTGCAGCTAATATCAAAGCCAAAAATAAGCAACCTGTTATGAAGATAACTATTGCAGTTCTCCTAAGGTAACTGGGAAGAAACTGTAGAAAGACTGTGCAAGCACAGAGGGAGGGAGTAGAGGAGGACCCATGTGTGCATCAAGGCTACAACTCATCCATTCCTTCCTTTTGTTATGCCATGGGGGGGTGGGAAAAGTACATTATCAACAAAATAATGATGGAGCTCCACTCAAAGTTCATCCTTGAGTACAAATTCCAAATTCCTAACTTAGGAATCCTAAGGATGCCATTTTATTCAATTACGTTTGTTTTATTTCAGCTGCTTTCGTATTCAGGGGTTTCTGCAAGAAGTCATTATAACTTGCCTGTCAAACTGCAAAGTTTTTACATTGAATGTTGTTCTTAACACAACCCCCCCAGATTGCAGTCAGAGATTTAAACCACTATATCATGGGGGACTTCAAGCAATTGTACAGAACTATTAACTACATACAAATCTCCAGCCATCATACTCCAGCCTTCATGAAGGAGACTTAAATTTTTTTAATGACCATGTTGTCACACAAAAAACATGTGATATAATCTCAGAAGAAAAAAGTATCCAGTTAAGATACATGCTGGAGTTTGGTGGCTGGCAGGTCCCATATGAAACTCCTCTCTGGAGGGGAAGAAATGTCTTGTATTAGCTTTTTCTTTGTTGTAAAACTACCTTTTCTACATTGCTAATATGTAGCAATGTTTAATATTATTTGTCAATATAAAAAAAAAGTATGAATTGATGCACCATCAATTTTACTTTTATAGAACCTCAGTTCAACAAGGACCAGCCTATCTTCACCTACGTTAACTCCACCCACGCTCGCCTCAACCTGCAGGGTTGGGCCAGTGGAGGCTGTCCAATCACCTCTGTGACACTGGAATTTAGACCAAAAGGTAGGACAATGGGTCCGTCTTTGTTCACTTTTGTTTAGCTAAAGATGTTGTTGTTAATTAATCTTACAGGCTTTAAATATAATTTTTCCATGGATTTCCATGGTAAACTACAAAATACCTGAAATAAGAGTTTGTATTTTTACAGGTATGTGGACATGGCAGAATGTCCGTACCAACGCCACCACAGACGTGTTTTTGGCAGAACTTCGTGAAGGCACCTGGTATGAGTTGAAGATGAAGGCATGTAACAGTGCTGGCTGTGGCAACCAGAGTTCTCAGTTTTCAACACCAAACTATGATGGCAGTGAGTAGATAATTATAATTTTTTTGCTTGTTGGTCTAAGCTGTTTCGACACAGCAGCCTTACGCACAAAGAGAATACCAATAATACCATAATCGGATACATATTTTACAGGAAAATATGAAATCAAGACACAACTTTTTTTTGTTTTCTTTTTAGTGTAGTGAACTGTATTGATATAGTCATAAAAGAAGCTGCAGCCAGTATCTCTCTTGTTTTGTACAGGTACGATTCCTCCTATTAAATCCCCCTTGGAAAAAAATGACGATGTGAAGAAATTATTTTCCATTGGCTGTCCTGTGATTCTGGTCACCCTTGGTGTTGCACTGCTGTTTGTCGCCATTCGCAAGAAACGTAAAGAGAAGAGACTGAAGAGACTACGGGGTAAGTGCATGTGTTAGAAAAGACAAAGCATCCAAACACTTTAAAATGCCATGGCCATTGGCATCATACTGTAGTGTCACAGGTATAAGGAAGCAATTTTGATGATATGCAAAATACCGTGTTTATAGCTTAGGATTTAAGCCATACTTTCTGGGAATAATATCCTTCTTTGTTTTTTTTGTTGTTTTTTTACATATAGATTAAGGCTCTAATAGCCTCAAACTTTGTTTTATTTTATTTTTTATTTTTGTCAAATACTCAAAAGCCAAAATATTGTAGTTTTTATTAAAAGAGAAAATCTGTTTAATGAGGATTCAGTTTTCATTCTCCTAACCAATCAATGCACTTTATGATATGAACTGAATATAATCAAACATGTTACAGACTCGTTAAAATCAGTAAAACAGCTATTTAGTTTTAAGCTGTTAGGAAGATCTAATAGAGATCCTAACTTAAGCATAGTTAGCAGCCAACTTTTGGCTAACCACAACAATCTCAGACTGCTGTCATGCCTTCGTCATTCCTTTTTTTTCCTAAAGTGTTTTCTTATTTATTTCAATTATTTCATTGAATCACTTTTTTTTCATGACGATAACGAACCATGGATCTTTGATGACTAAAATATGACTAGTCATGGGTTTGAGTTTTCGTCAATGAGACAAAACAAAAATAAAAATTTGCAGGTGGTCAGTCAGATGCTAAAACTGCATCATTGTGCTGTAATCTGCTAACCAGTATCAGCCGTGCTGCTGCGTCTTGTTTGGTCACGCAGCCCACCTGGCGTGCAGTGCTGCACATTCTACATGAACACAGATGGATCATAGCAGCAGTGGCAGGAGAGAAACTAACCGAGAATGGTCCAGTACTGCACGCTGAACCCTGACAAACTGATCGTTCTCCCCAGTATGGCTCTTCCTCTCGCTACTTAATAAACTATGTGGCTGATCATCCTCTGCCAAGTGTAAAAACCCCTTTGTCCAACTATCAAGATTTTATCTCTTGATAGAGGTATTACTAAACATCTTTATTTTCTATCAAAAGGAATCCCTAAATTATATCCAAAGAATTATTTCATTGCATACTGTGTTTTTTGGATAAAGCACCAAATGAAAAGGTACATAGATCTTTGGATATTTCTTTCTCATGATTCTCATGATTCTATCTATTAAAATATGATGTTAATGTATTGTCATTAAAAAATGTTTTATGTTTCCTTTGAATATGTCAACATTTTAATTAGCATATTCATTAAATTTTGGTCTGCTTTGTCAGAGCATTACAAGGCAATTCTGTAGGTTCTCTCTGTAATTTTTTAAAATCTTCTTTGATCCCTGAGCAGCAGTAACCAAGGTGCAAATTGAAGAAATAAAGCCAAAATTGCAAAAGTAGAAAGAAGATTTTTTTTTATTCTTAGCTTTTTTGGAGCAATGAAGATTTTATTGATCTATGTGTAATGCTTAATTCATAATAGATCAGGAAGTGTTTGGTTTGCGATGGAATCCTTGTATGTCTAAAACCCTTCTTTTATTGTACATTTTATTAGCTTTTCTGTCTGTTATATTAACCAATATGATATGTTGAACTAGATCAGCTACTTTCACAGCTTTTGTGAGACATGTTTTTTTAAAGAAGGGTATAAAATCATAAAAAAGTTTATTTGAATTCTATAAATGAAAGTTTTTGTCAATGATGAACTGCCCGGCAGCATTCTATACCCAGGAATTGTAGTGTCTAGGCAAGAGCTGTAAGTCTGGTAAAGAATCTGTTTTTTATTCAAAGTTGTAAAGTTACCTTTTTTTGCAACATAAAACTGACTAATACTTGACTAAAACCTTTTTATGATTTTATTTGGATGAAATGGTGGTGGATTGCACACAGTAATCAGAGATTAATTGTTTAAAACCCTTCTGCTCAAATACATTTTTTGCACTCATTTCCTATGAACTAAGACACAAATGTATGCAAAAAGCTGTTTTCTCAATGCAGACATCAATAAACATTGACTGATGTGTAATTTAGTTTTCAATACAAACAATGAAGGGTTTAATGTAAAAAGGATGATAGCTTTAGCGTAAATTGCTATGAATATTTCTGTGTCGATTTTGGTTTAATACAGACTCAGATATGGGGTTCAGCTTCAGGCCTTGGTCCAGTAAGTCAGATTTGTTCATTGGGGTGTGTCTTAAAATTCTGAAGGATGCTACATGTAGGCCACTTTTTATTTTTTGTGAGACAAAGCCACAAGTTATAAAACAGCTTCTAAAGTGGAATTATGCTGGTATCAAGGGCGTAGGTTTGATTTGAACTTTGGTAGGGACACTATTGGTCTGGTGTCATTGGTGCTATGCAATATGCATGCCCTTTTTTATGCTCGATGTGAGCATCCATACTGATAAGAGGAATTCATTGTTAAAAGAGAAAAGCAACATTTTGCTCCACTAATAAAAATGTTATAAGCTCTACACTCATTAGATGCTGTTTATCAATGTTTGAAGTATCACCGGCTCTGATCAATGGGGAATTAGGACTGTTTTCCACTTTGAAAACGGTTTGATTTGAACGACTAAGAGAGAAGGTAAATACAGTATTTTCTTCTGAAGATATAGAATTGTGCAGAGTTAAACCCCACTGTTATATTTGTACCTACTATTCTCTCTCTGTATCAAGCAAAATAATACAATCATTAAAATATTAACTTCACTATAAAAGTTGAACATCTGGGCTGTAGTTACTCTGTGTCGCCCATTTCATGTATTTCATCTGGGGCTGAAAAAAATTAATCATATTAATTGATTATTTCAATAATCGTCAACTAATTTAGTGAGTGATTCATCATTAACTGGAGAATAGAGACTCTAAAACATACAGTAATATAAATGTAAAATGTGCCTTTCCCCACAGAGCAACCCACTTAGATCAGTTATTATATCAAAATTGTAAAAATAAAAACAAAAAAATGAAAACAGTAATATCAACTAAATATCGGTAAAAAGGAAACCCTCACATTTTCTGTTTTAGGTGGCTGTGGCTAAGAATCAGAAATGTTGATGGCTTACAGCCTTTATTTGCCAATTTTTCCAGCAGTATTCAGAACTCCTGGCTGACTCAGAATATTTCGTTTTATAAAAGAAAAAAAAAAGGTTTTTGTTTTTTAGTGTACATGATATTAATTTTTTTTTTTATCGGGACTAGTTTTGTAGCCTAATATTAATTGTAGTAACCGCTGCATTCTAGTGTGAATACATTTTCAATGTTGTGCTCCAAGCACACGCGGACTAGAAAACAGCCAATCAGAGAGAGAGAAGGCGGAACTTAAGGCAGAACAACCAATGAGAGTGGAGTTAAACAGCGCAGCACAGTTCCATGCGCTGCTACATGACAGGGACAGGAGAGACCAGGCAGAGGAACTGCGAGAGAAAAAGAAGCCACTGCTGCAACAACTACTGCTGGAAATTATAAACATGTTGCTCACATCCAATTATTGGTCGGGACAATTAGGTCGGTTCAAAATTTTGGTAGGGACATGTCCCTATGGTCCCTATGCAAACCTACGCCCATGGCTGGTATAATAAATCATGGCTAGCATGAAATTGAAGAGCCAAAAGAAACTGACAAAAAGATAACAAATGCATCAATAAATAAGTGGATGCATGAAAAAACATTGGCATTTACTTAGGGCTCATCCTTACTATTATTAATTTATTTGATGAAAAAATAAATACATTATGATTATCAGGTGCATTTGGTTTTGTAGGACTTGACCAATACCTTAGAGCAGGGGTCACTAATGTGGGGCTCGCAGGGACCAAAGGGCCCTCAAGAACCACATGGGCTGCCCTCAGAGTCTTCTGAAAATAAAACAACTCAGTGGGCTAACTTTGAAATTTTACAATATAATGACAATGTATTAAATAGAATAAGTTAAAAGAAACAATAAAATATGTTTCATGGGTCAGTATTGGTAGCCCTTCCTATGACTCAGTACCCTGGAATTGGTCTTTAGCCATAAAAAGGTGGATGACCCCTGCCTTAGAGGTACCAGTGTATTTAAAAAAACATGAAAGTTTGAAGACAGTTTTCTAAAGGTTTTATGAAAGCCTCACTTTAAAACTATGAGATGTTCCTATAAGAGATTAGTCTAACATAATAAAAATAATAAGACAAGATTTTTGGTTGCAAATTTTTAATTGCTAAATTAATATGTTTATATATATCTGTTATTTTTAGATGCTAAAAGTCTGGCAGAGATGCTCATCAGGTGAGATGGTTTTATTGTGTCTAAATATAAAAGTTATATTTTCCCTTAAAGTCAGATCTTTCCACTTTCTTAAACTCACAGATGATCATCTATGCTTATCTTGTTTCTTTGAATTAGTAAAAACAACCGCAGCTTTGACACACCAGTGAAAGGACCTCCTCAGGGCCCACGGCTACACATTGACATCCCCAGAGTGCAGCTGCTAATTGAGGACAAAGAAGGCATCAAGCAAATTGGTGAGAAAAAAAACAGTGTGATGGTTGTGCAATATTAACATAATTACTGCATCAAATCAGTCAATGGATGAAATATTATATAAACTGAGATAATTAAGTTGGCTGAGTTATGTTTATTTTATCTGTTTTAGGAGATGACAAGGCTACTATTCCTGTGACAGACACAGAGTTCAACCAAACTGGGAATCCTCAGAGCTTCTGCACTGGTGTTTCTGTCCATCACCCTGCCCTCATCCAAAACACAGGTCCTTTGATAGACATGTCTGACATCAGACCAGGAACCAGTATGTGTTCTTCTCCATCACTGTTCATTTTAACAAAAACCTCTGGTACAAATGCAATATTTATCATAAAGTAATTGGTGTAAACACCAACTGTGAAAATTTCTGCTTTTCTTCTCAATTTCTGGTCACATTTCAACTTTTTGTCACGGCACTGGGGACAAATATTGGTTCACAAAGTTAAATTTCTCTTGGATTGTTTTTTTCTGTTAATGTCCATCTATTTTCTTTACTGTAAATTCAGTCTGTTTATATGATTGTGCCATTTTTGCCACCAGACCCAGTGTCACGGAAGAGTGTTAAGTCAGCCCACAGCATCAGAAACCGATACTCCAGTCAGTGGACTCTGACCAAGTGTCAGGCTTCTACGCCAGCCCGCACTCTCACTTCAGACTGGCGCACAGTTGGTTCTCAGCATGGCATCACTGTCACAGAGAGTGACAGCTATAGTGCCAGCCTCTCACAGGACACAGGTTAGTACAAGCATGAAATGACACTTACAGCCATTAACATGTACCACATAAACTGTGTAGAGGACTGGATGCTTACAAGCCTGGACAAAATGTCCCTTTCCTATGTCATAGATAAAGGGCGCAACAGCATGGTGTCCACAGAGAGCGCCTCCTCCACCTATGAGGAACTGGCAAGAGCCTACGAGCATGCAAAGCTGGAGGAACACCTGCAACATGCCAAATTTGAGATTACAGAGTGCTTTATATCTGACAGCTCATCTGATCAGATGACCACAGGTACCAATGACAATGCAGACAGTATGACGTCTATGAGCACACCATCAGAGCCCGGTATCTGCCGGTTCACTGCCTCACCACCCAAGCCCCAAGACTACGATCGTGGCAAGAATGTAGCCGTGCCCATTCCACACCGAGCCAAGAGTAAGTGGTAGCTGCATAACACATTTTTGTTGGTCTGTTTGAAAATAGTATGATCCGTATTTAAGGTCCACATACTTTTAGTAAAACATAAAATCTTAAGGTACCGTTGTTTTGTTGAAAACAGACACATACTATATTATAATGTAGTATGCAATGTCTGTCAATGTGCATTGCTTTTTCACAATAATCATAGGCATTGAACATTTATCATGATACAAAGTCTTTGTTTATTGATTAAAACTGTTTGTGATGTAGCCAAACCAAGTAGCAATGATTGCATATTAGTACTCTGGTAAAGGTAAAAACACCTTTACGGAAGTAAAAGTAAAAAAGTATAGCAACTTGTAGTTGGAGTACTGATGTTCAAGGAACTTGGACTTCGTGAGCACATTCAGTGTAAGATGCAAATGAAATCCCACCATCAACCTCCTGGGTTGTTGGCGTCTGCTTAGGAGGATGAAGATCCATGTTTCTTAAAACATCAGAACTGTAGATTGCTTCAGGGAGAGTGGACAGGACTGAAAAAGACACTTGGATAAACGTTAAAATGTGTTTAAAAAAATTGAGTGAAACACTGGTTGCCTCCCATTTAAGACTGATTGACTTAGCATTTACATAGACATAAGGAAAGTATAGGTTCTAGTTTTAATGAAAAGATTTTTGTCTTAATTGATTAAAATTACTTTTTAAAATTTTGTTAAAAAAACTTTGATGCACATTTTTTTTCTCTCTTGTCACTCTGGCGGTTGCTTTTATTCTAGACTAACATATATATTTTTAGATTTCTTCTATTAAAACATCAGACAGAATTATGTAGATTGAACTAAACAGAAGTCTAACATAATTAGTTTACTAAAGAGCTCTGGTATTCACATAATTAAACTTGCAACTTGCATTTAAGATGAAATAAGACTTTAAAAACTTTTATCATGCAATTTTAAAGTCTACTAAAGCGGGAATGGATGGAGAATATCTTACTTCTCAGAATACCTTTATCTATGTCAATGCCTACTGAAGTAAGGAAGCTTGTCAAAATGTATGCTATGTTGAACATTACTAAAAAAGATGTAAAAATAAATCCCTGGGTGGCAGCTAAGGTCTCCTTGTTTGGTACAACGTCCCTGAAGCTAAAAGTACACTAAAACATTTTAGCAGCAAAATCAATTTGGGTGAGAATTTGTGAGAAGATTAACAAACTGTTGTTGATAATATATTGAATTACTGTAGTTCAATATACACAGCACTCATTGACATTTGCTGAAACTACGGCTGCAGAGAATTAAGTTTGCGTCTAACTGCTTAGTATAACTTAAGACAGTGAGATTAGTTAGAGCAAATAAGTTCAATGGGTGTAAGAAAATGCAATCACAAAAAGAATTTAAACCCTGTATGATTTTTAAGGTAAAGTTTAAACATTTATATTTTGATATTTTTCCTTTCCAGGTGACTACTGCAACCTTCCCCTCTACATGAAGTCAGATCCTTTTTTCCGAAAGCAGTCAGAACATCATGACCCATGTCCAGTGGTTCCACCACGCGAGGCCTCTATTCGGGGTTTGGCCCAACGGGCATACCACAGCCAGGGCCGTCACGTGACTATGGACTCTACAAAGCAGCAGGCTCTGGCCGTCGGCCATTCCGGGCTTTCAAACCTCACTTCTTCTGGGGCATCCTCTGGAGGAGCAACAGGAGGCGGCGGTGGAGGAAGTGGAGGGTTGTCTGCTAGCTCCAGCAGCTCCACCCTTCCCCAGCGGACTCTCACTATGCCTAGCTCCTCTGCCTCTGCGGCTCAGAGTGCTGCTGCCGCTGCTGTAGCCACTGCTGCTGCAGCAGGAGCATCATCTTCCTCTGGCGGTGGCGCAGTAGGGGCCACAGGTGGAACTCCTGGAGGAGCATCTTCGTCCTCCTCCAAAATGGGAGGTTCTAGAGACTCTCTCCTGGAGAGCAGCTCTTCGGGATTAGGCAGACTACAGAAGCAACGGGATGGGGCATCAGGAGCCTACTCCAAGTCCTATACACTTGTGTAGTCTGCCATTAACGAGGCCTGTCACTGTAACTCTAAACACATTGCTGGTTAAGCCAGCGCTTGCCTGGAGCCTCCATGGTGAATCGGGGTGAAGAACATACACATGCACAGCTTACCCGTCAGTGCCTGTGCTGTGCCAGCCTGCAAGGAGCTGTATGGGCTCCCTTTAACACAACTGTTTAATGGGATCAGAGTTGGGTGTCCACAGCACAGGGGCTTGCCTTTCTTTCTGCCTGATTGTTTTCTCTTATATTTGTGTCATTTCTCTCTTTTTTTACCACCCTGGAAATCACTTGCCAAAACAAAAATGATTTATCTTTTCAGTCCATATTTTCATTTTCTGGCAAGGACACAGAACTTATGCACAAAATGCTTTTTAACTTGCACTGTCTTGCTTCCCATAACAAGACAGTTGTAGATTTAACCAGGTTGCTTACAGTGTGTGTTAAGGTTTAATATTTTCTCCTTTTTTTTTTAAATATATAACTTTTGTGTTCTCTGATGGAAGATAAGTTCATATCTCAGCATTGTGCCATGGCAGGATGCTTTTGCTGTATGCACAAACCACCAGCCTTGGTGTTACTTTGGCTCTGTAAGGTTAATCCATCATAGATCCATACATTAGAGGTGGTGGAACAACTCTTGTTCTCTTGTACATGCAATGGATGACTCAGCATTGTGGTCATATTTGAAGTTTTTTATAGAGAGACCTATAAAAGAGACGGTAAAAATTTTAAGCATCGTTGAGCGAATTCTAGATACTTTTCCCCCTAAAACGTTTAATATAATACTATGTGCACTACGAAAAAGTTAGAATGGATCCAAGTAACTGAAACGTCACAAGCTTGTGGAGATATGTATGTGTGTGTGTGGGTGTGTGGCTGTGGGTGTGGAAATATATGTGTAAATATATAAGTGTACATGTGGCAGGAACACACCAACAATGGACCTTTTTAAAATCAATCTTTATGCTGAATTATTGGGCAGAAGTCTGTGTGTAAACAGACCCCCCCCCCCTTTTTTTTTTTGTACCTATGAAAGTAAAAGTCTGGTAGTGACAATGTTGACACTTCCACCCTATTCAAACTTGAGTTGCTCTATTTTTTATTATTATTATTATTAGATTTGTTTTTTGTTATTGTTTTTATTCATTGTTTTCAACATGGTGTGGGTGATCTATAGAAATGCTAAGAAAAGGAAGAGAAGGGCCATAAGCTTTTATTGGAGGACAAGAAATACTGTGCCTTGCAAAAGTATTTACAACTCTTGAATTATTTCACATTTTATCAGATAACAGTAGCAAACTTTAATGTATTTCTTCACAATGTTATGTGACGGACCACAGAAAGTAGCACAAAATTGCAAAGTGAAAGAAAATTTCAAGTGCTTCACAGTTTATGTATAAAAACCTCAAACGTTCACCCCACTTCATACTGATACCCTTAAATAAAATCCAGTGAACCCAATTGCTTTTGATAGTGACCTAATGTGACAATAACCCATTTGTGTATCATTTGATATAGGTAACATGATTTTTTTTTTTGAACAGATGTGTTAGATAACAAAAGTAAACTTATGGACTGAAGACCATAGTAGACAGACCAGCAATAAAAATGTTTATTCGAACATGGAAAAAAGTGTATGACACATCTGTAGAACTACCAACATTAAAGGTAGGAAAGAGGATTTTTCTCAGTAATTAAGTGTCCAGATTAATCTAAAATGACTTAATTGATGGATGGCATTCTTGCACTTATGATTCTCCCCTAAAACATTAGCCAATATACTTTGCCTACTGTTAAAAGTGAATTGGCTACTTTTTGGTCAATCGAACATTTTGCGTACATGCCACCATGACGTTTTTAAAGTAGGCTCCAATCATAATTCAAAAGCTGTTTGGCTAGCGGTCCGACATTACGATGAAGAACATAGAAGTGCATGTACTCCTACGCTTGTTTGCTGGTGCGACTCTTTTCAAGTAGAAAATAGAGTGGGTAGAAGTAAACCGTTATAAAATCCCACCCCCATTTTTGATTATTATTGATCAGTCAAACTGACATAACCATTCTTCTTTCCTAGACCAAAAAAAAATTAAAAAAAAATAATAATAAATGTGTTGCAGTTCACAAATTTAACAAATTGCTATCTATAACCAACAAGTTCAACCAAATATCAGAATTACTTAAATAATGATTGATAAATAATAGGGCTGAAACAATTAATTGGGTTAACTGTGATTAATCGATTATTGACATAATCGTCGACTAATTTAGTAATTGATTAATTGTTTACTGGAGTTAGAGACTTTAAAACATACCTTTAGCTGACAGAGAAACCAACTTAGAGCACTCACTATTTCAAAATTGTATTTAAGATAAATTTCGTTTGTTAATATGTACTCTTTTGTACTAACTGGAGCATCAATGGCCAAAAAGAATCCTGACAAACCTAACTTGAAAAGAAAGACTTTATTCAATGTAGTTGAAAAGAGGAGGGAAAGTGGGAGAGGATGAAGTTGGCTCAATATGTGTTTAGGAGAATGCTTTTCTATGATTGCGTGCCCTGAAGAAGCAAAAGGGTCCTAAAACGCCTTGGTCACAAAACTTCAGCTGGACAGGTAAATTACGTTTAATTCCATGTAAGTACTGTATTTTTTTAAACTGTGAAACATGTACAGTCGAAAATGTGAATCCTTGCACGATGCTGCCTCTCTAGTTCAAATACAAAATAACCACTGATGCATGTGCACGATTCAGAAATACAAAAACAACCGTTGGACATATCTTCCACCACAGAATCCTCTTTCCTGCCTTAAAGCATTAATCAGAGAAGTAGGCAAAAAGGACCATGGCAACCTGAAAAACTGTTGGGGCATACACCTCAGGTGTGAGTCCCACAAATTTAGTATTTTATGATGAAGGGATAGGAAGACAGCCGATTTTCAAAGAAAGAAATAAGTCTTTGAGGAAGAGTGTTGATTTTGGATGATCTCTGCAAAATAATATGTGCAAGAAAACTAAAATTGCACATCAACCCAAATACAAAATTCCCAGTAATGATGCCATGAGAACAGTAACTTTAACACAAGCTGCTTGTTTATGGGAAGTTAGATGGAACTGAGTACAGATCCAACCTGGCAGAAAACCTGGAACAGACTAAAAGATACTGTAGATGTTCTTCCCAGAGGGCAACTGTATTAAGCATTATAGTAAGAGATAGAAGGGAAAAGTTTGGATTAAACCATATCATGAATAAATGTTCAAGTTTTTATGTTTCTAATTCATAATGTGCATTGCTTTGTGTTGGTCTGTCATGGACAATCCTCCAAAAACTACATTAAAGTTTGAGATAGCAACTAATGTGAAAAAGATAAAGGAGTATGTATATGTTTTTCAAGGCATTTTAGGGTCATTTTCACTTACTTTACTTTCTTCTGAACAAACACAGTGCACAATTGCATAATTTCTCCATCATCATACTTTCCTTTTTCCTACTCCTCTTTCCTCATATCATACTGTATCACCCAACATATCCATACAGTGTCACTGTGATGTACTGCCAGCATGCTGGCTAGACAAAAACAGACCAATTGAAGAGGAGGTATCTTATATGCACAAATGGGTACAAATTCCTAACATTCAATGACAGCTTGAATGCACACATTCAGCAGATTTTTAGAGAAATGTATTTGTATGATCTTTAATAAATGAACAAGCACTGGAATTATATACAGTTTGGACAGAATATGAAAAATTTGCTCAACAAAATGTTTCAAGTTGCTTCACCATTTTGAATTTTGCATTTAATTCTATGACTGAAACTTTATATCCTGTTTTCTTGTTTTTCATTCATCATTTTTAATTCCAAAGCTTGCATTGTCCTAACAATTATCCTTCCAAAATAAAAGAGTTGCTCCAAAGTTTCACACCGATAAAACATAACATCAGGGCTCTCGCAATAGAAAAAAGTAAAAGATATCATATATGTTTGTTTTCAAAAAGTATGTACATATATATTTCTATTTAAATATATAGCAAATATATGAATAAAGAGAAGAGACATATAAAAGCCGTTCTAATTGAAAATATATATAAAAAGATCACAAGACAATCGCTCCGAGTGAATATCACATTAAAGACAGGAAGAAGGAAGGTTTAAGCAGGTGACACACCTGTGGATGGAGGATTGTGGAGAGAGAGGAAGTTGTGTGAAAGTTAGTGGTTAAACTGGGGTTTGAGAATTGAGACTTTAAGTCCCATGAGATTTTGTAAAAACAAGCACAGTAAAGTGAAAATATAGTGTGAGATTTGTTGCTGATTTATTGTGGTCTCAGACCGTGCAGAAAGTGTGTTGGAAAAGAAAACGGTTAAAAAGGAGAGCATATAAAGTGATTGAGCCTCTTGTGTTTTGTTGTATTGTACCTTACAAATAGTTGTGACCACAGACTCAGCGCCACCACAAAACTACAGCCAATGAACACAAACAGGTTGAGTATTTCTGCAGTCCTGTGACAATATTACTGAGGATAAATGTAATAATCTTTTTTATGTACTTTGAAATCTGAGATTGATATGTTCATTTCTTTATGTAGTGTTAAAATGCATTTTCTTTTGGGCCTTTCCATTTTAAGTTATGCAAACACCTGTCCTGGGAAAAATATGGGTTTCGGCAAGGATTAAGCCTGTTTTCTGCATAAGGGCTTCCTTAGTCCATCTGTATGGTATTGGTTGGACTGATGAAATAAACTTCTAACCCACATGCTTTCCCTTCAGTTTTTAGTCAGTTTGCTCTAAGTGTAATACTTTTAAGAGAATTTCAACCTAATTTCTAAAGAGGAAATTTATACTTCTATATCTAATCCATTTGATCTCTCAGATTTCAAGATCTTCTTTCAGAATGTTCTTTATCAGTAGAATTTCTCAGAGACAGAACGACATTTTTGTTAAATTTTTTAATAAATTATATTATACCAGGCTATTAATTAATTATTTTAGAGTGTACTGAAAATAAAACATGGAACTTCAATGATTTTGGTGAACATGTTTACATTTATTGTAAACTTTCCTTAACCCACAGACATCAACACTCTTTAGTATAATTGTGGGTTGATATTTGAGTTTATTTAAAATGCCTGATTATCTGGCACAGTCATCCTTTAAGCAAATAGCATTAATGGGTTAAGATCACAACAATTCTTGATACTTATTAGCCAAGTTCTCTTCAAAACCATGTTTGAACTGTCTCTGAGAAAATTATACTGTTGAAACACACAAATTGACTCCTGTTTCAAATATCTTACCCAGAATCTTACCACGATGAGTTAAAGACATGTTTAGTAAGGTTCTTTAAAAGCTACATAAAAACTATTAAGGATCAGAGCTATCATAAACTAGAAGATGACAAAAAGACTCTTTTTACGATTCCTAGATCGCCCCAGAAGTGTGATATGAGTCTCATCCAGGAAACCAGCAAATAAAAATAAACTCTAAAACATATTAAAAAGAGAGATATAAAGTATCTAGCCAAAATTTCACTTATTGTGGTTTAGTCTTAGAAAAAATACTGGTTTCTCTGCAACTTTCTCTTGATTATTTATACAGATATTAGTAGTACGTCAATTTTAATGTTTGAATCAGAATAAGTCATTTAGCCTTGTGCAAATTAAAGCTGGCCAGATAAAAGGAAACTTGAACACCCAGTTCAAATTGTTTTAAATCTTTTACATATGTTGTATAATCATTCCACCCTGCACAAATAATACTTTGAATAAATCATTAAATGGCCCAAATTAATATGAAATTATACCCATGATTGGAATTGTATTATGCACAACAATCTTGAGTGGGTTTTTGTTTAAAATAAGAAAACATACGTTCAAACTGACCTATACACAGCCTGTATATGTAAGTCGAACTTAAAAGGAATTTCTTTTTACATATATTAACCAATCAGAAGCTCTCCCTCATTCCCTCTCTGTAGCCTTGTACATAGGAAAAGTGTTTTGTAT